CGTCAGAATGGCTAAAATAAAAGTTACTGGCACCGCCATTCTGGCAGGATGCGAAGAAACTGGCCACCCCCGGTTGCTGGGGGGAGCGCAAAATGGCAGTCCCTCTGGAAACCAGTTTGGCAGCTGCCAAAAATTTATGTTCACCCAAAACCCACACAAAAATGTTCATGGGAGCTTTATCTGGAGTTCCCCCAAACCGGAAAGAGGCCAGAGGTCCTCCAACCAGAGAGCGGCTGATACACCGTCGTGATGCGTGCACAGCACGACACAACACCTGACCCGAAGAAGGCACAGCTGCTGACGCACGTGGCGACTGGGGCGACTCTCCGGGGAGCAGTGCTGAGTGGAGAAAGCCAGTCTCCAAGTGGGATATGCGGCCCGGTCAGGAAATGGAGGGCAGGCTGGTGGTTGCCAGGGGTTGGAGATGGAGAAGGTAGGGGGAGGTGGGCGTGGCTATAAAAGGACTGTTGTGTACCTACACGTAATAAAATTATACAGGAATGAATGCACACAAACATAAGTGAAAGTGGAAAATTGAACAAGACCAGTGAATTGTATCCATGTCAACATCCTGATTTGCAACATGGCTCTAGAGTTCTACAGAACCTGACCATTGGAAGAGGCTGGGGGAAGGGTACACGGGACCCCCGTGTACTATTTCTTACAAGTGCCCGTGAACTCACAATTGCCTACTGAAAATTTCTATGGAAAGCACTATCAAGTCACCCCCTTGCTGTCATCTGGTGGGTACCTTCATCAGCGTCCCTGGGGCCTCATTCAGTAAGTACGTCACTACGTGCGAGGGAGCGAGCCCACGGAGTTGGAAAACGCATGTGATTCCACGGATGGTTCATTAAACCCACCCGTTTACATAAACACTCCCCAATTATCCTACTAAGTCAGCCGGCACTTACATTCTGCATGCGATTCATATCTCCAGCCAGACCGGAAAAAAGTCCACCGTTTTAAATAGGAGGACACAGTCACATTTAGCTTGCGTATAATCACACTAACTACCTCGTGCTATCCCTGTTCGTGATCTAATTAAAACTGTTAGTGAGCAAGAACAGTCTAGTCTAACTGACGTGACCAATTAGTGAATCTTTATGAGCAACATTCAAAATTTCATGATCGCTTTTTAAAGACTATAGTCTTTGGTGAAGCAAAGATGGTTAATGCAGAGAAGAAAAGGCCAATGGCAATAAATCAGCGAGTGGAGCAGGCGCAAAGTAAAGAAGAAACACGCCCCGTCTCCAGCGTAACGTGTGTGCACGGCCTGGATGTTTGGCTGCGTCGCTGCTGCCCGAGCAACACCAATTAGATTTTTGGAAAACCGACAAAATACAGTCCATACATCAGTGCAGCCTTCTGACGTGACAGCACCTGCAAAACCTCAGAAGAAGGCTCAACGAGGCCCCGGCTCCAGACTGACATTTCCAATCCTACTGAGCCCGAGAGTGGAGCCTACCCAAATGCTCCCAAATTAAGTTAACGTCCAATCCCTCTCTCTGCCTGGAAATAATCCTTCATAAAACGACCTGGGCATCTTTCTGCACATGTTCATCGTGACTGTGGACACTGCAGAGCTGGGCAGCAGACGCTCGCTGAGGTTTGCTTGTGTCGGTTGGTGACATACCCTTCACGGCTGGGCTGCCACCTTAACACCTGCTTTCAGTTTTAGGGTGTGCAGCCTGGATCTGCCTTCCTGGCTGAGGGGGCCAGAGAGGCTGTGTCTGCGGTCAGATGAGAACGGGACCTGCAGGCTTCCCTGGAGGGAGGAATGCTCTCTTGACTCGGTGCCAGGGTGAATCCGAGCTGTGGGCATCCCCGCTGGCCCCTCAGGGCCCCAGGGTACAGGACAATGAAGTCCAGAGTGGAAGGACTGAACCGTCGAGAAGCACGGTCTTCTCATAGACACCCAGGGGGTCGTGGGCCCTGCTGTGCATCCCTTAAGGGACGGCGCAGGCTGTAAGCCAAGGCTGGAGTGGGGACAAGGGTCAGAGCCCCCAATACATCGGGCGCTGTCTAAGCTTTAGAAGTACTCACTTCCTTTTCTCCTCATAACAGTGTTCTAAGGGTGGGAACTATTACCATGATCTCACAGGCGAGGAGTGGGGGTGAAAGAGGTTCAATCATTCCGCCAGAGTCCTGCCCGGTGATTAGACCGCGGTGCTGGCAGTGGAGGCAGTGGGAACAGATTCTGGATCTGTTCTGGATCTGGGGGTGGAGTGAGGCGAGCCCAGGGTAGCTCCCAGGTGTCTGGCCTTAGACACTGGAATGATAGTGCTGGCATTACGGAAATTGGAAAGGTTGCATTTTCATTCTTCTTAGACACAGAATTTTATTTAAAATAGTACATTTTTTCTTAGTAAAAAATCCCGATAGGCAACTTCTACCTCCACCAAGGTGGAATAACCCTCTCACTCAAAACAACATCCAAAATTGTATACGACAACGGTTTTCAGGACATTTTTGACATCAGGCAATAAAGGGCTGTGACGCCAGAGTGACCAGAGGCAAGGTGACGCAGGTCATTCCAGCCCAACTCCCAGAGAAGGGGCAGTGACAACATGGCACCAGCTGCTTGCAGGGCAGAGGACAACAGAGGGCTCTGCACAGACACAGAGAGCCTTGAAAGTCCACTGACCGTGTCCCTCGAGGAGGCGGTAGTGACCGGCACACACATGTGAGGTCAGGAAAAGCAACATCGGAGCACATGGGCAGGACGGTGCTTGGTGCACACACGGAACTGCGGACAGCGGATGTGCCCGCCAGCTGGGCTAGAAAACCTCACTCTCGGGGACGCCGGGGGTCCACCCTCAGTCCTGGGGAGTGACCGGGAAGGAGGAGAGAGAGAGGACTCGACTGTGTGGCTCCTACACTGCTCACAAAGTGCTGTGACCCCTCTGGAGGGCAGACTGTGATAAAACAAAAATGCCGTCTATAAACCCTACGGTAACCAGTGAGACACCAAGATAAAGAGTTATAGCTAACAGCTCGTGATTCCACCAAAGGTGAAAAAACACAGGAACACACGCCCACGCACGCACGCACGCACGCACGCAAACCTCTGTGAATTCAGAAGGCAGGGAAGAGAGCAAGTAGCAAATGGGGAGAATAGTCAATGCACAGCAAGAGCCAGACTAAAGTCTAGCCATATCAACAACCAGGTTAAATGGAAATACTGTAACACCCCAGTTAAAATACAGAAAAGAGATTTAATTTTTAAAAAGACCTAATCACAATGCTACCTAAAAGAAACACACTTGAAATGCATAGACACAAACGGGCTGAAAGTGAAGTATTTTTTAACGAGGACATTATGCTAACAGAACTACACTCTGCAAATACAAGACTGCAGAGGAAGGACCCGAAGCCAGGACAGCGTTAGGTGCCCACTGACGTGGCCTCCCCAGCAGACCTGGTCACAGCAGCCTGGGGCAAGGGGGCACCTTGGAGAGCAGGGGACTGAAGGAGGAGGCATCCTGGAGCAGGATCGGCAGGTGGGAGACAAGGAAATCTCCCAAGGAAAACAGGGAAACTAAAAAACATTCCACGGTTTCAAAATGAGTTACTGCCGCACTGATAACCCTATTTGTTCAGACAGAAAACACAGAGAACGAAGGATACGCAGGAGCGGGGTTCTCGGGGCAGCGGGGGACACGAGCCGTCTCGAAGCAGCCAAAGGCCAGAGCCGGCAGACGGAGGCGCAGGTCCAGGAGCCGGCTGCGCAGACAGGTCAGCTGCCACGCTGCAGTTACGTGAAGCTGAGAGCCAGGCCTCGGTAGCAATCAACCACCCAATACATCTTTTCTGGTTTTTAATCTAATCTCTTCTAAAGTGGCAACATTGCCCACAAAACAATTTTACTGAACGTGAAGATACATAAATTTCATAAATATTTAAATGTTTTAGCCTAAACCTAAAGTTTCTGCTTCCTGATATTTACTCGTGATTAGGTAGATTTGCCCTACTATGCCCACAGCAGAGCTCCAAACTCTCTGTGGTGAAGGGCCACCTTTTTAAAATCCCAGCTCTCTGGACCTGTGCACGGTCCAACAGTGCTTGGCTTGAACTGAGTCCCCCCCAAACCCGTACGCTGAAGCTCTCACCCTCAATGTGACTGTATAGAGACAGGACTTGCAAGGAGGTAGGTGACTAGGGTCAAACGAGGTCATAAGAGTAGAGTCCTGATACAACAGGACGAGTGTCTGTATAAGAAGAGACACCAAAGAACTCTCTCTCTCTCTCCCCGCATGCAAACGAAGAAGAGTCCTATGAGCACAAAGCAAGATGGCGGCCATCTTCAAGACGAGGGAAAAGGTCTCAGAATGAAGAACCTGCTGACACCATAGGCTTGGACATCCAGCCTCCGGAGCTGTAAGAAATGAACTTCTGCGGTTGAAGTCACCCAGTCAATGGGATTTTGTTATTGCAGCCAGAGCAGACTAACACACACTGCATGTAACCACGTGCAGCTCACCATGCAAACTGAACACTCCTCTAACTGGTATGTACTTGTTCAACAGGACAAGCCCACTGACCACATGCTTAAATGTCAGAGCAATGTCAAACTGCCTTAGAAGTTTCCAAATGCCTGCCCCCCATTTCTGTGCTTATCACACACTTTGTGAACTAAAGCAGACTGCAGACCATGTTTCGAGAGCTGGTTTGTAGTCTTTATGTGATTTTTTTTTAAAGGCAACACTTAGTTTAAACATAAAACTTGAAATAAGGGCATGAATTTAAAACACATTAGAAACCAGATGCACGCCATGGGCTGAGAGGAAGTAGAGAAAAGCCCAGGGTTCTATTAAAGCGTATCTAGGAAAGAACCCCCAGTGTTCTTAAAAATGAACCCACTGTGCCGTGTTTACAATGCCCCCTGAATTCTGTTTCCCTTTAGCACCCCCATCAGTCGCTGTAATCATATCCACAGAGCACATGAAATTAGATTGCAAACCCTCAGCTGGCATACTGCTGCTTCTTCACCTGGTGATCCAGGCACCAAATCGCGTAACAGGTGCCCTGGAAGGGACTGACACAGATGGATGAGCAAGTAAACTCCCGGGATCCTGCCGCCGTGGGAGGAGCTGAAGCAGAGATGCCCAACTTTCTGATGGCCACTTGGGTGGGTCTTTGATGGAAACTAATCTGTACATTTGGTTTTTATTCTGAGCCCATGCTGGTTGGTTTGTTTTTTTCCTGCAGGTTAGGCTCACTCATCTTCAAAAGCTATGTATCGTTTCCAAATGACAAGTGAAAACCACGTTTATCCTTTCAGCTCGCAGGGACACAGGCTGGTGATCAGGAGGGACCAGCCACCAGGTCTCAGGCCAGCATCACACCTTGGCCCACGGGTAGGTTCACAAGATCAGAGAATACATTTTTTGCAAGCATGACTGCTTTGAAATAAACTTTGCTGGCTGAACTTTACTCTTTTTCATGTCCAAGGAAAAGGTAATTGACAGTTATTTTCTCACTCTGTTGCAGTTCTTGCAAATGTAGCACTTAATGAGGAGGAACGAATGTGCAATAGAATTGCAGAACTATAAAAGTTCAAAAGAATAACCCAAGGCAACCTCCTGGTAACAGAGAGGGCTAGCTGTCCATCTAAGTCATTTCCTCCTCATCCGGAGACACGCGGAAGCACGCTTCCCGGCCCCCAGGGGCCGTGTCGTCTCCTGGTGGCCAAGGCTGACTCTTCACGGCCAGTGGAATGTGAGCAGAAGTGGTATGTGTTCCTTCCAGGCCTGGTCCCTAACACCCTCCCTCAGTCACCCTGCACACTCCCCCATCCCAGCTCTCACATTCAGGGCGCTGATCCGTTCTGTCCACGGTGTCAGGTGGGAGCCACACTTTGTTCTTCGCATGTGGATATCCAGCTGCTCCGGCATGTGTATGGAAAAGACCACTCTTTCCCCACTGAATTGTCCTGGCACTTCTGTCAAAAAACCAGTTGCCCATAAAAGTGAAGCCATATTTCTGGACTCTCAGCTCTACTATACCGATTTCTCTCTTTTTTTTAAAAAGATTTTAGCCTGTGAACCAGAGGATCGCGGTTCAATTCCCAGTCAGGACACATGCCTGGGTTGCGGGCAGGTTCCCTGCAGGCCAGTTCCCTGCAGGGGATGCACTAGAGGCAACCATACATTGATGTTTCTCTCCCTCTCTCCTTCCCCTCTAAAGATAAATAAATAAAAATTTAAAATTTAAAAAAAGATTTTATTTATTTTTATTTTTAGAGAGATAGGGAAGGGAGTGAGACATCAATGTGTGGTTACCTCTAGCACACCCCATATTGGGGACCTGGCCTGCAACCCAGGCATGTGCCCTGACTGGGAATCAAACCGGCGATGCTTTGGTTCGCAAGCCTGCCCTCAATCCACTGAGCCACACCAGCCAGGGCTCTATGTCGATTCTTATGCCAGCACCACAGGGTCGTGACGGTGGCTCTGAAGAAAGCTTTGAGACTGGGAAGTCTAAGTCCTCATGCTTTTTCTTCCTTTTTTAAGACTGTTTTGGCTATGCTGGTTCCCTTGCATTTCCACATGAATTTGGAGAGCAGGGAGTGATGCGAAGGGGATAGGACTATTCAGCAGGAAAAGACGTTTTGTCCTCCTTCCCTCCTCTTTCCAAGTTCCTAAAATGGCGCCATTGGCGGTGGTGGCAGCGGCAAGGAGCTGATGCATTTAGAAGAGCAGAGGCCCGGTTTTCAGACGTGCTTCTCGGCCTTGCAAGCTTCTCTTCTTCTGTTTTCAATAGTCATGTGTCAGCAATTGATGGGGACGCTCACGGAGGCTGGCCACTCCAAAGCTCAGGTTTCCCGGCTGTCTCTCCTTCCCAGATCCAAGGAGCTGCTGCCACTCGAATGTGTCAACATCATCTCTCTGCTCTGCATTTATTTATTTGTTTGTTCTGCAACAGTGTTATCACTCCTATTTTTAAATGACAACATTCAATATATTCTAGCATATCCACATAATATACTCAGAAAGTATTAAGTTAAAAAAGTCACTGAAATCGGCATGTTTAGGAAAATAAAACCAATTGAATGATGAAAATGATGATGCTTTTAAAAGACTGACAACTTATCTCTTTAGTCAGGGATATGACAAACATATGGGCTCTTTAAAGATAAGATCTTTAAATATCTTCATATTTTACTAATCTAATTAGTCATCCTTTTGATAATTTCTTGATTTAGAGATGTAATATTTATGATTAGTTTTGTAATGCCAGACACAGTACCTCTGCAGAAGGCTGAGGTGCTCTGCCAGCCATGCGGGGGCGGCAGTGAGCGCATCAACACAGCGACTGAGTAACACGTCAGAGAAGAAACTGTTAAGCAGCATCAGAGCTGGGAAACAATTTCAACCGACTGGAATCATTAAAAGATAGACCCACGGAACATACTATATGACACAATTGATACAAAATTTAAAAAAATGGCAACAAACTCAAGAAAGTAGTTACTTTCGGCCGGCAGCAAATGGAGAGAACAAGAAGGGACTCGGGTAAACTCTTCTATATCTTCCAAGTGTGTTCACTTCTTGACGCCCCTTTGAGCCCGATGCTCATACGCGGTACTACCATATTCTGCCGTGTACAGTGCACTCCCATGATAAAGTGCAGCCAGGTGTTTGGCCCAAACTTGCAGGAAAAATAGCTCTCATTTTAATTTTTTAATTGAGTATTTCTTTATTTATATTTAGATACTTATTTTTTTAAAGCTTCAGATGTTATTTTATTTTATCTAGCTATTTTTTTAAGATTTTATTTATTTATATTTAGAGGGGAAGGGAAGGAGAGAGGGAGAGAAACATCAATGTATGGTTGCCTTTCCTGTGTCCCCTGCCGGGAACTGGCCTGCAGGGAACCAGCCTGCAACCCAGGCATGTGCCCTGACTGGGAATCAAACCGCTATTTTCTGGTTCGCAGGCCCCCGCTCAGTCCACTGAGCTACACCAGCCTAGGCCTAGATACTTATTTTTTGTATTATAAAGAAATTTTAGAATTTATTTTTGAACACATTATGGTGCGAGAAATTTTACGTGACAAATAATTACAAAACACAAGAACCAGTACAAGGTATTTTAGGTACCACCCATGTATAACGTGCATCTTTATTTTTCCCTCCAAAATGTGGGCAAACAAACACTGTGCATTATACATGGCAAAATATGATATATGTATGTTACATTTTAATTAAAAGCTTCTAAAATATTTTGAATATTTATTTTAAATAGCCTATAAATATTATAAAATGTAGCATCTATATTCTTATTTCTCCCCTACTTTAAGCAGTAACAGCAGAGGTCCCTTAAATTCTCTTAGGGTCTAAAATAACTTCGACTTACTTTCTGACTTCAACAACAGTGGAAGAACATACACACAAATGCATGTATGTACATACGTGGCATATACAACAGATATAATACACACAAACACATATGCCATACTGCCCTTTAGTGGCTTGGGGGAAAGTTACAAAGGATTTAAGTAGCAAATTTACAGACTCATAAGTGTAATGAATTTCTGAGAAAATTTTCAGATTTTGTTCATTGGTTGTATAGTGATAAAAATTCATTTTCAAAATGCCCCTTACGGAATTTAACTTCCACAACATGCCTAGCACACTCCTTACAGACGACGTACTACATATGTTACCGTGTGTTAACAAGAATGGGTTTTGTAGTGAACTAGGAATCAACTGGAATAACTAGAACTAATATTACGGGTCCAGAATAATTTCTCATTTCCAAGTGAACGGCAGCAACCAGACCCCAGCAGGTAACATCTGCGCAAAGTCGCTGTGAGCGTGAGACCGCCTACAACAGCAAGACACTGAGAGTCGAGGTGTTCCCGTTCGGATTCCCTTCCCAACAATGACGACAACAGAGTCGAACAAACAAAAAGCTACCGAATAAACAAACCATGAACCAGATGGAAGTGATAACTCAATGTTCAACGCTGAACTCAAGAATATTAAATGTACATTTACAAATGTGGAAGAAAACCTTCATGCAGGAAATTTTAAAACTCAGAACAGAAACATCAAACAAACAGGAAGGCATGAAATGGGAGTGACAAGCTGTAAAGAATTAAAGAAAAAGACACACATCCTCTTGGAAACGCATAAATTCCAGGGTGGCCAAGGGAGAATGGATGGAAATGATGATATGAGGGACACCAAAGACAGACTTAGAAAGTCAGGACAAAAATGAAACGAAGATGTCAAAATGAAAGGAAGCGATCCATGTGGAAGGCAGACAAAGATCACACACACATATAACCAGAGACCCTGACGACAGACAAAACAATAGGACACAGTTAATGTTAAAAATGACTCAAGAAAATGTTCCAAAAATAAAAGAAGACCTGAAACTGTATCAAAAGGGCCCACAGTGCACCTGTGCCCTAGACCAGTCAGCTCTGAGACATAGATATATAGAACAATTAGATTTTAAAGATAAACTCTAAAGAGGAAAAATAAAGTCCTGGGCCTCAAGTCAAAGCAACCGAGACACTCGCAGAAGGAGAGAAATCAGGCAGCACCACGGCTTGACAGCAGGGACGTCAGACAGCATTGTGGCAGCAGTTTCCGGAAACTTGACGGAAATTGAACCTAAAAATGTTAATCCAGCCACGTTACAGAAGAGCAGTCTGAAAGATTCAAGAACTTACGAACTCTTCTCAAGGACGCCTTCGGCGCCCAAAGCAGGGGTCTCGGGCCACAGCATTAGCCTGGGAGCCATGAGGAACGAGGCCCTAGGCACCCTGCCCCAAGGGGTCCCGATGGCCAGTATGCCGTTAATGTTCGTGAAGCTGTACCAGGGAACAAGTTTCACAGAAAAATGCAGGAGTTGGGAAACTTTGGCCAGCACCAAAAAGATTTATCTGCTTATTTAGAACTTAAAAAAAAAAAAAAAGACATATGTAAATGTTGGCTATTCTGACGAAGTAGAAATAGCAAGCAGAAGTTTTTCCTGGTGGCTCCTTTTGGACAACTGATCACCATAAAAAAATATTAACAAACTGTACTCTCTGCTCCAATCCCAGTGGCTGTGACACACTCCCTCCACCTGGCTTCCTTGTGCACCAATGACCACAATGGTGCAGCCTCCATTATCAGCACAGATGGTGCCAATTAGTTCCTTCGTGAAACACTGAGACGGAAAGGATGTGTGAGCACCACAGCCTTCCTTGCACAGGCAGAAATGGGCACGGGTGGGGCTGCTGATGGCAGCTTGGGGACAATCAAATCTTGACATCCTGCAGCTCATCTTCCACCTCGTGCTCAGGCTGCCCCGGGAGGCTTGATCCTCAGACTCAGATACACAGGGCTCTTAAAACACACATACGCACGCATACACACACGTGTGTGTGAAACAGTGTTTCTGCCCTTCAGTTGGAAGACGAGGGTTTTTAACTAAAACATGGAAGATAAGAAGCTGTTTTCTAGAAAGTAATCACCATTTAAAATCTTTCCTTCTCTCTTTCATGGTTTTTAACATCTTTGGAAACAGTTCATTTTCAGTAGCATTTATAAGAC